TGGCTCACGGGACCAAGTTGCTTTGGAAGGGCAGGAATGGAAATCATCAAGCTAATTAGAGAAAATAGGAGTAAGAGTTTACCCCTGGTCATTGGTAGGGCTCCCCTTTTTTCATTACAAAATCAATGTAAAAGACAATAAAAAAACATATTTAATTATTGCATTTGTAGAATGAAATGTCTACCCAAGACATGAAGTCTGAAGATCATTACAGTTCGTTTTTCTTTTAAACGTTTCTTACTTGAAACTATAAATACTCATATTTGTAAAACAAATCCTTCTGTTTGTTTTCTGGGGACAAACTTGTACCTTTCAGCTGCAATTATGGTTTTTTTTTTCTAGAATTGAAAACAAAAGAGAATGAAGATTTTTTTTTATCACTTATTGTTTCAGAATTTGAAAAGTATCGTGCTTTAACGACCCACTCGACAACCTACACACTGATTCTGCCTTTAACAAATATGTCAGACAGTGAACAAAGCCTTCAAAACAGTGTTGACTCATTTTGCACTACATGGCCTTTTCACTTTTCTCTTTAGCCTTTCTTAATACCTACAGTCTCTCTGGGTCTTAAACTAATAATATTCCTCATTTTAGAAAAGAAGGACGGACACAAAGATACAGGACTTGACCTAACAACGGAGAAGTAAACTATGGTTCACTTAGTGGAGAAAAATGATATTTATTCAGCAACATCTGTGATACTTAAGGTTTAATATCCGCTTCAAGGACAAACAGTAAAAACTTTAAGGTTTCGAACATGCTTAGCCTCGTTTTTATTCCGGGTCAAAGCTTGTCAATATAACTTTATAGGGCAGCTCTAGCAGGAAATGTCAGGGTCAGGCAGCTGGAGGGGATAATCATATTTCAATATCGAATCTTTTTCCTTCTGCCCCCCACCGTCAATATTTTTTCATTACAGAGTTCACCTAGGCAGCATTTAGTCTTCCTATTGTCAAGAAACCTGGTGATAATGAGAGGGTTTGAAAATTCATCCATGAATTTCAAAAGAGCTGAAGAGGTGTAAAGAGACTGCTTTTACTATGCTGACTGCAATAATTTAGATTAGCAACACCACAATGTACTAGAAATAATTTATATCATTTTTGTCGTCAGGTTGTCTTTGTTTTGAAATATTAGTGAAATTCTTTCTAACTGCAGAGCTGTGCAACGATGACTGCTCTCTGTTCCTAATATAAATGATTGATACCCGATCACAGAAACACGTCTTAAGTTTTTTTTTTTTTTTTTTTTGCACTTATGATATAAAAAGGAATGATTAAACAATCTCACACATAGCATAAAATCAGAGTTTCCTGCTTTAAATTATTTAGTTGGAACCCATATATTTTGAAATTATCAAATAAAATTAAATGAATATTAAGTGATATGGTGCAAAAGGAAAGTGAGTGAGCAGAGGAAGATAGCTCTGGAACTTTGGACTGTGTTTGCAGCTTTTTTTTCTGTAAACATTTTATTTTTCAACGTTAAATTTATCTCGAAATTAGAGAACAGTGTGGCATTGTTATTAAAAATTATTAAATTGACAAAAGTATGTAATTGGTTGGTCTCTGCATAAAAGTGTAAAACGTGGTGAAATATTTAAACCTCTATAACTATGCTTTCACATTTTTTATGTAAAGCTGCGGTTTTGTTGGGTGTGTTTTGGTGCAAGACATAGATGGTAATGAGAGCCTTTAGCAGTACTGAGCTAAAATTTCAAGAGTACATTAATAATTTTAAAAAGAGAGAGAATGGATGTGAATTGTGTGGCTGTTGACAGAAGAAAGCTCTCAACGGTGATGTAAACAAGCTGGTACATTAAACTGTTTTAATGCATCATTGCACACTAAGCTTAAGTCTTGAAGCAGATATTGTCGTTAGCTTCTTTCCCATCTACTATTAAGGTGGCAGCCAGTTCAACTAGTTTGAGTAGCTAAAAAAAAAAAACACTGGAAAACGGAATCAGAAAGATGAGAGAGTGGCAAAAGTAAGTTTGATATTCTGAGCAAAGATTGTCTTTTTAATTATAGTTAGACTAAAAGGTTCTGAAAGGGAAAAGCCCTGCAATAAATAATAATAATAATAATAATAATAATAATAATAATAATAATAATAAACCTTTGTCAGTTGCTTGTAAAGCACTATCAGGCAGACAACTTTTAAAATCAAGCTGTAATCACAGAAATGATTCTTGCCATGTGGGGCCAACATTTGAAGAACAAAGGAAGGCCTGCTGTCTCTTCCCCTCTGACCTGAAAGTGATGCGAGCATTCGAGGACCGACGACGCAAAAACATTTCCCTCATCACACAGTGAAAGTGTGGATTTTCTAATAAACTAGACAATGCCATTATGAACTCTATCACAGAACTCCAAATGGATTCATCATCTTTCCCAGAAGTAAATCATAGCACAATTACAAAGAGACACATTTGTCATATTACCTTTAAGTTTATAATAACGTTTCCTTTAATGGAGACATTTGGCCTCCTTTAGTTGGCTAATTTATGCTTCTATTTTTTTTTTTCAAAATCTGTATGCATATAAAATTGCAATTAACCTCAACAGGATCTTTTTCTACTGATGGCTATTATGGTTCCTATTATGAAACCAGCAGGAGATGTGCTTGGAGTATTAGTAAATAGGACTCCATTAAAAAAAAAATGAAACTCGGATATTGCTGTGCAAAATAATCCACCACATTGTTCTCGCTCTTTTCTTTTCCTGCAATTGTAACGTCGTGACAAAAGCAGCATTTGGCGTTTTGAACTCTCAAATCCAGAAAGACATGCTAGGAGCTCAGACGGTAAATGAAATATGGAAATGTGTCTGTATGAATAATTGAGTGGACACATCCTAAGAACTCTCTGAATACTTATCAAAGGCAAATTTGTTCCCATCAATATTAGATGTTAAACCAACACCAAAACATGCTAGATGCATGGAGATCACAGACTGATACCAGATAACTTTATGTATTTTGGCTCAGTTTCAGGCTGAATTGATTTTTATCGCTTGTCCTCTTGACCTTTGGAATAATGAGCTTTGGTTAGAAAATCGTTCCAGACAGGTTTTGTTTTTGTTTTCGCATCACAAATGTGTGTTGGAGTAGACAAACTGGGCCACAAAAGATAGAGAGAATCACTAAGCAGATATAGAGAAATCACATTGTTTAGGTTGCACCTACAAGATTTGAAATGCAAACAAACCTTGCAAAATGCTGTTGCAAATTCACCTGAAACTGCTTCCAACCATAATGCAGCCAAAGTGGCATATTATGTATTTCACAAATGAAAATACAGCATAGCAATGATCAGATTGGGATCACTTTGACACCTTTTACCAGTTATTACGTCCAAATCATTTGCATACTAAATAACTAAATGTATACACATGTATGTAATCATTTTCGACTAGCACATTTTTGACAGCAGAAACAAAAAAGTATATATGTTTTATATAATTGTAAATGAGGGGTAATGAGTTGTTAAAATGATAAAACCAAAATCTATTAAAAATGGGGAAGATCTTGGAGAAAGGGCTGTCCACTTTACACATTCCCCATGCTCTCAAAGTAAAGCAGAAGAACCACCAGACTGCAGCAGTGGACTGGAAATGCTGCACAAGTTTGTCAATAACATATTTTTACCACTAAGATCTGTGCTGTGTATTGACATAAGTTTATATCAGTGAAGCTATTTTTCGAAAACCACTCACATAAATAAAGAAAATCGATGATGTTTCAAAGACATTTGCAGGAATGAAGTTTCCTGAATGTTGCAGCTGGAAATATCTCATAGTGCTTTTAAATTGTTCATATTATGTCTGTTGAAGAGAATACCAGAAATGCTTTTTAAAATGGGTATTTAAAATGAGTGGAGGAGTTTTTAAAGTGTACATAACAGGGTGTTTTCAGTTAGCTCAGAAGCAGTCATAACATTTTCAAAACAACAACATAACTCAAGAACTACTTCCTAATAACTATTTGTTATTTGAAGGAATTCACCTTAACATCTAGAGTGCATGATAAAAGCATAAATCGTTGTTAGGAGACAAAATAGCATACTGATAGCAGCCGGTTAGTGCTTTCTGAGAAAGTCTTTGTGGTTGTAATAATGTAAGATCTCTTGGTACAAAATCCCATAACTCCCCCTAACTTTGATAAATGACTAAAAGTGATTGGGAAGTTGTTAATTAAGGTTAATCAGTAGAGATAGTCAAGTCAAACTATTTGTGTTGAAGCAAAATTTGTAGATTTAAAAATACCATTCTTCAACATATTTCAACTAGATATAGACACTGACTGGTTAAGCTAACATGGCCTTGAAATAGGTGTCCTTTTTTTCTGGATTTATCTTTCTAAAGAAAAAAAAAAGAACTTTATTTTACTTATTATAATGTTCTTGCAATTGATAGACCTTTTATTTATTTGCAAGATAAATAAAGGCTTGCCTCCACAGACGGCCATCGTCACACTCTGTTTAACAAAAAAAGTCAAGGCAATTTGTTATTCTGCCAATATTTCCATTCTTTACCCACCACCACCTGATTTCATTTGTTGAAAAATTTTCTCATGAATGCAAATAAACAGGAATATAATTTGGTGACTTAACCACCTGAGTTTTACTTGTTTACAGAGTTTTGTAGACGGGTTTGGATGGACTAGGCTAAGGTCAGCGTGGGTCTGGGCTATCTGCAGCCTGGTAAAATAACAGATTTCCTATGAGACCGAAAGCCGGTCAGGCAGAAACAGACATATAAACTACTGCAGCGTAAAGTAAAGGGTCATCCAAGCCAACAACACCAGAGGTGAGAGAGTTGGCAGGCAGGTGGGATGGACGGATGCGGTGAATTTCTGTGTGCTTAAACGTGTGTGCGTACGGTTAATTTTACTGCATTGTTGGACCTTCTCTGCAGGGTTGAGGCTGCGTGCCCATGCTTATCGCATTAAGCTGCACGTACACTATGTGTGTGTATTTGTGTGTGGGGGGGCCTTACCCTTTAAGTGGATCTTATTTTCGGGGCTGTGCACCAACACCGAGCTAACGGAGTCCAAGCTGTCGTAGTTACTGCAGCCGAGAGGACCCGTTCTCGTTTCCGTTACCTGGAGGGAAAGGAAAGAGGAGGTCTATTTAACATCATGTACGATATATGTGGTGAATGTGTTACCATTACGTTAGCAGTAAACAAGGGAGATGTTTGTTGCCGTCTTTGATGGCTTAGAGTACAGCTTGTGGCAGTTGTGACAGAGAGCAGTAGGCTAGATGAAGTAAAGCCCTCTGAGAGCAGGAAAAAAAAAAAAAAAACAATCTAGGATTTTTGCTTTAGACAACACCTGCAGCCACAGCTGCCTGCGATGTGTGGGCTGCTGTGTGGAGAACAATAGAATAAGAGAGAGGAGAGAAACATGTTTATGAATTTACATTAAAGAGATTTTGTCGAAGGAAGGAGCGCTATATTGAGTAAGTTGGCATTCAACAATGATTTCCTTGTGCATAAGGATAAACATGATGGAGTCTGTTTTATTTCAAGCACTCTTAAAGATACCTGCTATTGGGTTTGTGAAAGTTAAATTGTGGCTCCGTGGATTTAAAGCTACATAAAGGTTTTTTGTTCAAAACTTTAAGCATGTTTGGTGAAACATGTCTGTTATATAGTGCACGCATATTTGGACAAAAGGTGTGTAGTTCACATTAGAACTGTTTGGTTTCTGAAACGTACTGATCCTCAGTGATTATAATTATGTTTCAAGGATCACAAGTCTAAGGTCTCCATTAATCTGACTCAAATGAATCCCGACACTCGTTGCTGGCAAATAAATGAATCATCAACAGACAAGTGGTTTTCTGCATCGGAAAGAGGTATGTTAGGTTTGCTATCCAGTCATCATCTTGTAGACCGTATTTATAGATCCCTGAATATATGTGCTTCGCAGGCAATTGTTCGCTGGATTATTCAGAAATTATAGTTAGGACTATTTGAGAGATACTTGTCCTATTTCCTGTAAGAAGCAACCTTGGTTGAATACAGTTAATGCTAACTCTTACTCTGGCAGAGTACAGTGTCTACAATGTCCTCCCACACCATTAAAACACAGGGTGATCTACGACAGCGGGATGAAGGAATAATAAAGTAAAAATCTATGCATACTCAGACTCACCGCCAAAGTAAACAGAGTTTCGAGTGTATTAAATTAAATGGCAAAGGCCTAAGATGAATCTCCAAACACGGTGCCACTGAGCTGCCAAAGCGCTTGCACATTACTGTTGCAGCTCTACACATTTTACCCCGTCTTTTATTCTCCGTCTGTAATATATTTGTCTAATTACACCTTTCAGTAATAACTGACCACTATTGTCTTGCTACAACGTCATCGCCATACAAGCCCTTAAAGAGATTCAGAACGAATCAATAATAATGAATTAAACACAATTACCACTATGTGCCCTAGAAAACACCACGGTGCTACTAGGAACAGGACTAAAACTCTGCTCCACGCTTTAGAAAGCTGAACGACCCAATGTGAAGCCTGCATGCAGGCAAACAGTACGAAGTTCTTTACAGAAGTCAGAACATACAAGTAGGAAACACATGCAGCACTTTCTGTCGCGAGGGAATAACAACAAATGTATGTCCATGACGGATCTCGCTGAAACATCTGCACTGAAGACCAGTAAAATATTTACTTGGCTTAAACCTGCAACCTGGATATCAGTTCTTGAGAATCATAGAAAATACATGAACAGTTTTGCCCCAGATTTCTCATGCAAATGCAATGCTAACAGTGGCTAATTGGGGATCAAACAATAATCAGAGTAACACAGAGTCAAGTCAAGTGCATGAAGGGAAAGTGGAGAATAGAAGGAACACAGGAACTGGGGATAAAAAAAGAAAAAAAAGGTTTCTCAAAAAGAAGAAGTATGAATATGACAAATGGTTCATTTCCTATGTGGAGTGTTCAAAATAGCACAGCGTCAGAGGATGGATGTGGCCTCTAGCAAAGCGATTCTTCAGCTAAGTGGCCTATCTGGAAAAAGATGCAGCCTGTGCAGCCGTCTTGTTGCTTATATCTTCTCACTCTGCTTGCCTTAAGATTGCATCTATTATCAAACGAAATAGAAGTTATCCTTCAAGGCAGTGTGGGTGATACACATCTCAAAAATCTGTCAAATATATACAAAAATAGGAGAGAGAGAGAGAGACAGTGTCATGATCGAGTTAAAGATAACAGAGATAAAGGCATGAGGCAAAAGAAGACGTGTGAAACAGGAAGAGGCCTTTTTTCTTAGCTTCTTGTTTAAGCAGTGGATGTGGTTCCAAAATTGAGTCATGGAAAAAGTCAAACATTTAACTTAGAATTTTTTTTTCTTTATTAATCATCCAAAAAACATGTTTGAATGGAATTAGTTTTTCTCATGTTGATAGCCTAACTGTAAAGTCCGGTCCTCGTTGCAAACTAAACGACCAAATTAGCTTGAGGGTCTGATTGTGACTCATACCGCCTCCCTTTCTTTGCCTCCACACACTGACTGACCTCTTGTATTTCGCAGATCAGTCTTCTTCCAACTAAGCACAAAAAAACAAAGCAAATTTTGCATTGAATCATCATGTTAGATGCATAAACCAGAATTTAAATGAGCCATCACCTCACTGAAAAAAAAAAAAAAAGAAACAATTTGAATGTGTTTGAGACCACGACTGCCTGGTGTCCAGCGAGGGCTTTTCATTTATCGCTTAGATTATATTCTTTGTTCAAGGTTTCACAATTAGCAACTAGCATTTAGCCAAGCAAGTAAGTTGACTGGCATTTATTTGTGCCAATTGTCATTCTTCCCCCCAACTCTGACCTGTGATTGGCCAGTTGGAATCTCCAAATTTGCATCAACATTTCCAGCCAGTGAATTCATTATAACCAAGCGCCAACAGTTTCATTCTGTTGCCAAGTGAAGTTCACTTATTGTTAGCTTATTTTATAGTGGTGCTAAAAAATGAAGACGGGGGAACAAGATGCAATCGTCATTTTTAAAGGGAACTATATTTTCTATGCCAAGACAAGCCCTGGGTTTATTCAGACTGTGTGGAAGTGAGAGAACAAGAGTTTCAGCAGATGACATAAAACCTAAATGGATCAGCCAAATTGTTGCTTTTGAGCCTAAAGCCTCAGTCTATCATGGAACATGCTGGGTTTGGACATGTTGGCTTGTAATGTTTCAGTAGGTCATGGCATACTGTCTTGGTCAAAAGTTGCCAAGTTTCAAGAGTTTCATCAGTTCACACTCCTTACAGAAGGTGGTGGTAATCTCCTGTGAGTTGACTCCCATCACTTGACACAAAAGAAAACAAAATTTGGAGGCAACACGGAAAGAGTCATTTCCACTGGTACTCACTGAAATTTGTGATGGTAAGCCTCTCTTAGTTCTTAGCTCCATTGTAAGAAGCAGATATTCTTGCCTTGTTATTTGGGCAGTAAAAATCTCCTGAGCATTCATCTGTCAACTTAGACTTTGACGCTCTTATACAGAGCAAAAACAAGCTCAGTTCTCCAAACTTCCTGCAATTTAAGGTTTATGATGCTGACGTTGTTTCTGTGACGTTGTTTCTGCCTTTAATAGCCACACCAAGCAAAAAAAGGAAATTGTATTTAACAAATGATTTCTATGTTCTAACAACACATCTTGGCAATAAATGCTATGTCATTTGACAGCCTGTTTACTTTCACCTAAGTGGTTGAATAGCTGCATGGAAAATTCAGTTGAGAGATGAACTGCATAGCCGAGTGGGTAGGAAACATGAAAATATGCCAAATCCTCTCTGCCAATACTAAACTACTTTTGGTGGAGGCAGTGCAAAAGTGTAAAGAAACATCTCAGTCTGTACATATTTTAATTAGATTTTCAAATAAGAATTGACATGAAAACAACCAAAAAAAGAAAAAAAAAGTTATATGATTTTTGCATTTAAATACAACATGTGCATTAAAAACATTTATTGTCTTTCTTTTTTGTAGTCAAACACATGAAGAGAAAAGTAAATTTTTTTATTTCATACTGAAAAACATTAACGTAGCATATTTCTTACTTGGCATGTTAACTTAAGAATAAAACTATTATATAAACTACTAATTTCTATTTTTTTTTTTTGACTTGTCAATGGCATCTGACAAGAAAATTAAATTATCAAAATATGCACAGAGCCATCTCTCTCACTGAGGAAAAAAAACGCAGATAGTGAACGTTGGATGCGAACTAAATGCGTAGAGGTTATCAAAGAACTGTCTGCAACCCCGACTGCTGCAACGTCTGTGGCTTGAGGCAATCAGCTGGGTTTCCTTACACTGATACTAATTGGCATCATGAACAACTTGTCAACCTTGTGTTTTAACCATCCTGGTGTCTTAGCACGACGCTCAGGAGGAGGGCGGCAAATGTCACAGTCTGACAGCAGGGAAGCGGGGGAGGGGTGTCCCGACAGACCGTCAGTTCCCGGGAAAAAAACTTACAAAAGCGCACGCAGGGTCAGTGCAACCCTGCTGAACTGCACACAGAGTAAAAAACTCGGGGGCTCCAATGGACCCCATCTCTTAAGGGTTAATAAGGACCTACTCATAGATATTCGTATATCATAGTTTATTAAGATAATTCACTTTAGCTACAAGTAATATCGGCAGGTCAAAGTTTTACAAGTAGAGATGCTACATTCGTCACAAATCACTGATGAGTTATTGTTACGTTGGAGAAAGTTCAATAACTAATCAGGTAAAATGTTTCGCCTTTTGTGATAAAAAAAAAATAGTTACTTAATGCAACCATATATTCATTCATATTAATTATTCCTCCAAGCAAGACATTTTTGAGTCAACACACTTTGTCTGCAGGGACCATGAAGCATCAGAGCTTTGAGCTGTGCTCTCAGCTGAGTACACATCGGGCTTTCAGCGCCTCCCCAGAGGAACTTCAACCACAATTCATCTGAGAGCTGCCAGCCCCGCCTCTTAGTTTGTTAAAAACTCCAAAGAACTCTCAAATGAAAGGATCAATACCCACCTGGGATATTTTACATTCAATGATCACTCAGTACAGTGAATGATCATAAAATTTTTCTTATTTTTGTTTTTGTTTGTTTTTTTGCATTTTTATAGTTCAGATGATTTAAGATTATTGTTTTTTTTCCCTTCTATTACATTTGAATGATTTATTGCAGCACTGCTTCTATCAAACCAAGGCTGCAGGTGAAGTAAACATACATTTATATTTACATTAAATGCCTGGTGATTTTGAATAACTCCAGAATTAACCACGACTTAACTGGAAATGCTTTAAAGTTTTCAACATCACTCACATTTTTGTTTACTTCTGTTTAACTTAATACATACAGTATTTTAATATTTGTTTTTAAACTGATGATGTGATGTTAAGAACCACAGACAGTAAGGGAAGTTTAGAGGCACAAGGATTAAAGACTAAAACATTGTAGGATTATTGAAGATTAAGAAGAATTAAAAAAAAACTATTTTTGCAGGAAATTAGATTGACTAACCTATGCTGCATCCATTTATTCCTGTCCAAAATGCTTACTGCTTTTTGTTTGTAAAATTTGCTACACTGAGATTCATAAAGACAATCTGTGCTTGTTAAACCAATTATGAATTTCTATATAATGAAAAACCTTTAGAGGCTCAATGATTTGCAAATATATTGAGATGTAATAATGAAACTACATTATTTGTATGAGAATTGGGTGTTTATTGTGTTCTTGGAATACATCGTTTAAAACGCTTGTCTTTGGCATCATTTTATTTTGCAAAAATGATTCCTGAATAGAACCGAGGTATCTCCGTGAAGTTGCTGACGTTGGATTTCAATAACTGCAAATAATAAAATAAAAAAAATATATCGACTTCTTTTGAGTCTCCAACACAAAATCTTTTTCTCGGAAAAATGTTTTCTAAACGGATATGTAACTGGGATTTGTTTGTGGGGAGAATGATGATATGTTCTGCTCCAACCTCCTACTTGGTGCTGCAGTGACACAAAGCCCAGTGGAAAAACATGGACGCAGGTCAAGTACATCCCACTCAGTGCCGCTTCCTCTTGTGTGACGAGTCTATATAGCAGAATACATTGTTGAAAATGGCCCACATACTAGACATTTTCATCTAGTGGGAAGGTATAAAAGGAGATCTTTTGGATGGCTTTCATGTGTTTCTATGCATCCAGTTTTCATGTGTTTTTGTTTATTCCAGATTTTGCTCTTAATGTATTGAAAATGTAAAATGCGTTTTTGTTTTTTTTCCCCCCTCAAAAATCTACTCACATTTACCTTCTTCAGAAGTATTAATTTTAGGGGTTATTTTGTTCTTTAAGGTCCAGATGTATTTTAAATGGTTGCAATTTCAAGCTTACCTTTCTTCAATTCGGTTTTAGATTCTGCTCTGTATTTCTTTTTCTCTCCCTTTTGCTTTGTAGAGGAGTCCAGCTTCAAATATGGCTGACAAATTAATTCCCTTTACTCAGATCCTCAGCTTAGACTAAGCAGATATTGAAGATTATTCCTATAAAAATAGAAGCTGGAACAGAACCTGCCTTCTGCTTTTCAGCCAGCTGGTTGTAATTTTTGTAGTGGCAAAATCTCTTTTTGTCACATAACTCAGAACTTTACAAACATTTGTACTTGGGGAGTAAATCTAAAGAATAAAGTAGAAAATGTGACTTTGGTACACCTGGTATATATTCACTAAATATTGTTAAAGTGCTACGTATATTTGCACCAGACTTGGTCTTTTTCAGACTTGAGGTTGAGATCTAACTGTGGATTCACTCCAGTAAACGTGCGCAGTACCTTGGAAAAGTGTCACTATGTCTTGAGCTCTCATGCTATAACCACAAACCTAAGTAAACATGAGGAAATGGGAATGTTTTGATAAGGCATAGCAGAATAGCTCCTGCTTGTGAGCTGAAAGAAAAAGACTTTATGGTTTTCAAATGTTTTCTATAAATAATCTAAGAAGAGGGACCAGCTGCAGATCTTTAGGGGTACGTTCGTCGTAGCGGAGTAAATCTAAAAACTGACATATTTGCCAATTTTTCTTTGCAAAGTAGCTGGAACCCAGTGAGCAGAGAGCAAAGTTGCTCACCAATTTCCAAATCTCCCAACAGATCTGAAAAGGGAGCCTCTGCCTTAGTTTTTAAGTCTTTCCTGTCCTCTAAAATGTTCCCTTTGTTCTGCATTTAGCTGTATCTAGCTCACTGTCAACTTTGACCAGATTCCCCTCCCTTACTTAAGAAAAGCATTCAGGGATAGTTTGTCAGTGTTCGTGGTTTTCATTAACATTTACATGTAGGCCAAAAAGTTACATTTTCGTCTCATCTAACAAAAGCACTTTCTTCATACATATTTCATGTGTTCCACACACGACTTGTGGCAAACTGCAGACAGCATTTCTGAAGGGTTTGTTTCAATGCTGGCCGTCTTAAAGCCACTTCTTCATAGTGTCCAGATTTGTAGGATCTTCCGACAGCACATTCTCCCACCTGGGCTATAAATCTCTGCAAAGAGATACCGATTCTCGATCTTCAGACCCCAGCTGGCTTATACAAATATACTTATTGCTTATGTTAATTTCTCCCTGCTTTCATAAAGGCTAGCCACGTTAAATATTTTTGAATTCTGATCAAATTAAGTCATTACTGTGAAGAACATAACCATCTCTTAAAGACACGTCAAAGTATTTTTTTGTCTCACCATGTATTATTTACTAAAGACAATCAGTGCTGAGAGAAATATTGTGCATTCATAAGTTTGCATACATAAATCATTTTAGCTGCAGTGAGATAGTTACTTACATTCCCCCCAAAATGTATGGACTCCAAGTTTAGTAAGGTCATTTCTTTTCTACTTTTTGTATAAAAAAAAAAATCTTTGCAACTTGCTAAAAGAGTTTGTTATAATTACTAGTTAACTAATGAAAATAATAATATTCAAACATCCTTTCTTAAGGCATTAAAATTAAAGTTACGTTTACTGCCATTGTAAAAAAAAAAAAAAAAGAGAGCAATCAAAAGTGCTTTGAGCTCCAGTTTAAAGGGGCTCTTGGAAACAAAAATGGTCTGAGAGCCAATCTAACCTTTGCTTGCAGAGTTTTCATTAAGTGGAGACTACAGGGACACAATACTTATGATATACCGGCTTCATATGAATATGGCACCAAGCCAATTATTTGTCGTTTCAATCAGATTTGTTATTTAAGTTCATGAAGCGAAGCACGGCCCGCCCCCCCCGCCCACCCACACACCTGCTGTCGCCGCAGGAAAGCCAGCAGACATGTGAAAAATGTTTCTCTTGGTTATTCTTTCCCACTAGAAAGCAAAGGAATCAATGTATTGTTAGACAAAGGACATAACGGTTGTTGTTGTTTTTTTTGTTTTTGTTTTCTGTATTTTATGAGTAAAGGTTTAATCAACTCTGCCTCTTAAAATTATCAGTTCAAAAATTTTTCCGGTTTTATCTTCATTCTCTGAACTGAAATCTGTGAAGTGATGCTGCTATGGTAAGGCAAAAGACACCTTTGAGCTTGAAAGGTTGCCGTACCTTTAATTTGACAAGTTTCTCTTCGCAGTGAAACAAATGGAAATGATTCCAGATGGCGTGTAATAGGGTACAATATGTACCTGCGTATGTGTACAATTCCCTTTGAGACCTTAGAGAAAGTTGACATTTGCGATGCTGTGCTCCCTTTGAGAGTTGCAGTGCATGAACCGTGTTATTAATCAACACTTGCCTCTTTAGATTAAAAAAAAAGAAAAGGCGTTTCCTTGAACTCTTTTTAATCTCTTGAACCTCGAAACCATGCACTGCAACAATAATCTTTAAAAAAAAAAGATTGTTTGTTGAAGGTGTTTGTTTGTAGACGCAGCACCGAATGATATAACCGCAGAGACGGGTTTTATAGGAGCGTTGATATTGGACTCTGCACCCTCATAACCGGCTGCTTGTTAATCCTAAAAACCGCCAAAGTGTGTAGTTTTTGCAAATAAACACTGCATTTGCATGTGCTTTATGAGCAGCGTACTGAAAGGCGGGCATTTTTCAGCAGGGCACTGAAGCAAAGATTATGCATCTGGATTTGTACTGTAAGCACACATGCTGAGTAAATGAGTGCAGTACCTTAATGGCAGAGGTGGCAATCTGGAGGTGGTGGAGTCGCCTCAGGGTGCTCTCCCGATCGGTGAAATAGGAGGCCGCCAGCTGATGGAGCAGCTCCAGGGACACCACAGAGCTGTTGCTGTTGCCCTCCGACTTCTTATTTAGCTTCTGCTTGTCCAGGAAAATAGTTAAAGACTCTTCTCCTGTGAATCAAAAATCAATTTATTGACCTGTGCCCAACTACAAAAGCTACTACTTTCCCTGGAAATACTTTTTTTTTTCATTCAAGTATTTTGTTAAGTTTTTAATTCTATCACTCTTTTTTTTTTTTTGCATAGTCATTTTGATAATTTTCCAGCTTTCCTGGCTTAATTTGCCTACACCAAACAACTACAGGAGATTTACCAATTGACAAAGGTTTCACTTTAGTCAACTCTCAGGGCTTTGCAACCAACTCATGCAAATCTCTACAGAATTACGTGGGGAAGAAGAATATAATGAGAGAATAATTTAGAAATGATTATCCTTGAATGCGAGTCTTGTCAAATCATAATAGCGCACCTTATAAAATCAAAATACTTCTATTATATCAGGGCAGTATCACAAGAATTTCCCAGTTTAGCTGATCAATGCCATTAAGTCTATTGGATCCCAATAACTGGAGACGTTTTTAACAAGTCAAAGCTTACTGGTAGCTGTGTATTACCAGGCCATAACCCGAATAACACTAATATTCTGAAATATCTGTCTTCAATGTTAGACTCAGAGCAGCATGATTTTAAGAGTATATCAAAAAGTGCAAAAGGTGTGAGAGCTATGGAAAGTGTATCTATGCTACACATATATGTACACCATGAAGTAAGTTTTTCTACTTACATCATGATGTATTTGCATTCATCCAATCAAACCTCATGTTCTGCGTCTCTGTGTTGCCTTGTGATTGACTGGCGGCTTGCCCCAGGTGTACCCGGCCTCTCGCTCAATAACGGCTGGAAATATGCACCAGCCGCCTAATGATTTCATTGCTAAACAATAAACCATGAAAACGTAGCTCTTTGTTGAACATTTCAGCACTGCTGTTCAATTCAGGATGATAAAAGAGAGCATTTTAAAGCTCCGCAGCTTTATTACATGGATTTTGTTTTGTTTCGTTTTACTCTGCAGGGGTCAAGGCTGAAAATACAAAAACTACAGCATATAGCTGTAAAGAGAGCAAGAGTTTCATTCATTTCATTTTGTGTGTTTTTGTTTTTTTTTTTAGATTGCTACGACTGTGTGTGTGTGTGTGTGTCTTCTTCAGTGGAAAGGAAAAGGGGAATTTTACCACCGCAAGCAAGAACAATGGTTAAATGCTTCAGGGTATGAGGTGTGGGTCTAGCTTACTTTTTCCATTTGTCTGCAGTGGCACACTGACACAGCATGTCACTCCAACAAGTCCTAAAATGAGTATCTCTTCTATCTTCGTGTGTCCCATCAATTTCTAAGAATGAACACCTGCAGGTTCTCCTTACCTCCCAGGGTAGCAGAAACCAGGAAGTGGGTGCCGTACTTCTTGATGAGGTTTTCGTTGATTTGCTGCAGGGTTGGCCGCCGCCCCAGTAACCGCAGGTTGCGTAGGAACTCTGGTGCTAAGGGCAACGGAGCTTTGAGGAAATCTCTCTTCTCTGTTGCCAAGCTGTTCACCTTCCAGTGGCTGAACTCCCTGCAGGTATGAACAGATTTACGAGTGAATGCACACTGTGCTCCATTGTTGCTTCATCAGGCCACGACCCAGGACCTGCATACACAATGACTCTCTTGCAGAATGTAATTGAGGTCTGCATAGACAGTGGTCACAGTTTTCTATTTGTATTCAGCGAGGAGGATGAAAGGATATCTGAAGTGGTGTCTATACTTCAAATATACTGTCAACATGTGATTTATCAACCTCATTTTCTTCTACCTTGCTCTGCGCAAAGCTGCCATTCTGATCAGAAGTTACCATGTCTCTCGCTTGTTGTCCACTGGAGGTATTCACCAGCCCCAAAGCAAAAAGGAACTAAATAAAGAAGGTACAGTAAAGGGATGGTTCATTATGTTCCTCAATTTTCTGGCCAAGATATGTGAATGACGGCAACATTAAAGTGATTCTTAAATACATTTAATGTGAACAAAGAGAACAAAAGAAAAACAAAGCATGAAAATGCTATGTTCTCATGTCTGGAAATGCAAATGCCATGATCATGATGGTAGCACACACATGATCAGCCGATTTACATAGTTGAAGGACTTTTATGGACTAATTCAGTTTTAGCCTGTGAATTGAATTTAAAAGTCCTTTGTTAAGGGGGAAAGGGCGCCTCATCTGGTGACTAAATGCCAACACATTTCACCCAACATAAACAACTTCTGATTTTCAAAAAAAAAAAAAAAACTGCTTCGATTATCCAGTTATAATTGTGTTTGTGAAAAAAGAAAAAAAAAGTGGTAATAGCTAGCAGTTAAACCGCTAAAAACAGATCAAGGTTCCTCCAAAAAGTCTCATGAGTTGTGCCTATCCAATTAAGTTAATAGCACATGTTGTGCTTCAAGTCATATATTAGGCATTTCCCAAATTCTAGTTCCAAAACCTACATCCAGTCTGTACTGTATTATTGCGCTGGGGGTGAAACATGGGATCGAAGCAGGCTCTTCCTTTGGGGACACGTTGAGGAGGTCAAACATGAGGGGCTCAGGAGTGAACAGCCAAGACCCTTCAGCAAGAACGATTATTTCTATTTGAAATCACTTTAACTGGATGTAATTACATGTAAGCTTTATTTTATCTGTGATGTTATTACTAGTATATTATAAATTGCTTTGTTTACAGCAGCGATTATAAGTTAGTACAGTGTAGTATTAGTTTATTGCAATTACTATGTACACTCCATGATAATTCAAAATGTGACTTTTTCTTTTTTTACTTTAGCAGATGCTTTTAAATGAATAAGATGAACAAATTTCTCCTTCCGTGGGTGTTTACAATACGCAGCAGCATCTATTGAATTAGAAATGCAATATTAATAAGATTCCTCCCGTTAAATGTTGTGAAAGTCCTAAATATGGGCTCCAGGGGTCAGAACTTAGAGTTATGTGTTAATTAGAGTAACAATATGAAAGTAATAACTTCTTTATCTTTTCTGTATCTGCAGTGATTGTGGCTGCAGATAGAACACCTGGGACCCGACGCAAAACGAGGTGCAGATTGTTCTTTTCTTTTTCAATTGATGGGAGCGATTGTTGCTGCATGTATTTAGTGCAATCCAGTTTTTGCAGTTCAGTAATAAAAACGGAAGTTGAAAGACTCATAACGAAAGAGTAAAAAAGGAGAGAAACAATGCACAATACTTCATTACAGCGTTAATGAAAACAAAAAGCATATTAAGGAGAGTTAAGAATCTTAGTCATAAATTAAAATATTCAGAACTACTGAGTAGTTGGTTGCATTTCATGATGTTTTGTTAATCCAATTCATAAGATTGTATGCCAACCATTCCTTTAAACTCATAAATCTGAAGCTTAGTTTGGCCTCAAAAATCCAAAACTTTTCCCACACCAAATAAATAAATAAAATATTAATAACAAATGGTGCAATTTATTTTAGTGTGCGAAAACAGCCTTTTCAGCCAGTCTCGCTTATAATGTCATCTGTTCACATTTGACTAAGTAAAATATAAATTATTAATGTTCTAATTAATAAATTAGGCCAGAATGTTACCCCCAGGGGTATGTTTTAATCAAGCAAATGAGGTTTTACCATTCTGTGCTCCGTTGCTTTTGCTGTTTGACTAGCCAAATGATTAGTATGAGCAATGTTAAAAACTTAAAGTTATTCAATTAAAACCCAAATATTAAACTTATTTCAATTCTTAAGCATTATGTGTCTTCTATGAGGACTTCCCAGTGGTTCTGCACTTGAGCTCTTATGAAGTTTAAAATGTCCTGGTTAGAAAGAACAGGACTTTATCGTTCTTCTTACAACTTTGAGCAAAAGAAAAACATCATCTTTCTATCACGGAAACTAAACTGATTCAGGTTAAAGAAAAAGTAAAGAATTAACGGCTTCAGTAGCTCATTTAGTGGCCTCATCTAACACAGAAATACCACTGAACATAAAAGCTCTCAGCTAGTTTTAAAATCCTAATGATTAAAAAAAAGCAGAATTAGTTGCAGCTTTACCTCAACAGCTCCTTCAACTGCGGCGTCTGGCAATTTGTCTGTGCTTGTATGCAATGACCTTTAAAAGAGCCATTAAAGGTAATGAGAAATATGTCAAACTTTATCACATTTTTGTTTCACAAGCATTATCATTATTGATACAATTATTGTCAGATTAATGATCCCAGTTTCATCAACGGGGTGTAGAAAACAAGGACCAGTAATTCTCCACGTAAGTATTAGAAAATGTGGAAAATGTATTTTTACATGCTCAAACCTTCAGACCTTCGTTTTTCTCAGTTTTCATTGTGTAATGGCACTTTTTCAAATAACATCATTGCATTGGTGAAAAGCAATATGCCCACCAACATGTTGATCTGGTTTTGGTTGTGAACAAATGAAGCATTATGAAACATATTATTCTAAGGTCTTGCATAATATTATGGGGTTACTTGTTCCTCACACTTCTCATAACTGCTTCTGCAGCATTAGCCAAATAGCTATGGGTATTTCTACATATTAACACACAAATTAGTAAGGAAATATATATATATATATATATATATATTTTTGTATTTAACGGAATTCTTTCATGAGCAGTATGGTGTAGAGATGCAACCTGAAAACACACGAGGCACAACATACAAGGGTATTTCGGCACCAAAACGATGACTGCAAGAGAAGCTATTAAGTAAAAACCTGGGGCACAGATTATGGATGATTCAAAGGATGAAGCATCTCTCTGGTTCAACTTCAGGGTGGGGCAGGTGATGTGTTTAAGGAAAAGATTTGTGCCCCATGTCACTCTGACCTCCTATGGCAAGAGTCCATACCAGAGATCCACAAATGACAGACCGTGATCTGGATATTACAATCTTCCTATTTCTTTGCAAAGAGGTCAGTCAAGAGAGAGAGAGAGAGGAAAATGAAACACAAACTGTATGTTTGTGAGGAAACTCTGCTTTCAACCCTATGTCTCAAAGAAGAGAAAGATCCAACGCTGGCTGGATGGGCTCCTAGCTCCTTCATTGCTCGAGAGAATTTATCACCGGTTTCTCTCCAAAATTTACTCGAGTATTAAACTTGGCAATGTACACAAGGCGCCAGCATGAAACTAAACAAGATATATTCGAGAAATCATACCCACTTAAATCTGAGCTGAGTCCACAACTAATGAATCATTAAAAGAAAAAAGCATGTTTGACACCAGGATCCTGACAAAGTCACTTCCTGCTCAGCAACAAGCTCAATTTTGTCAGTCAAAAAAAACCAAAAAAAAAAAAAAAAAAACCCTCATCAAACTCAGAAAGTTTCAAAGATGGCATGATTGCTATAACTTTGGATTTGATGAGATCAGAGAATATATATATATATATATATATATATATATATATATATATATATATATATATATATATATGGTTATGTGTATGTACTAGTGAATACACAGTGTATTCACCTCCATGTTTTATAGGGGGAATGGCGTATTCAGAGTAACATGATGTGTCCATATAATTAATAACAATACATTAACAAATATTTTGTAAATTACAATGCTTTCATCAGTGCATAACACTGCTAGCCTACAGTCTGTAGTTTGCTGTTCAAGGCAAGAAAATGTGACTTATAAATGACGTCTAAATTAGCAGCTTAGCTTGAAACAGCCAAGCCCCTCATCTACATGCATGTGCAAACAAAACAGACTTTGGATATAAGTGGTGTGAGTGCAGTAGTCTGGAACAAAATACCAACAGTGACACACTGTTTTGTTTTGTTTTTTTCCCCCCATGAGTGTACTTTCTCGCCTATACACACAGCAGAACGTACACAGGAGGAGGTATAAATGTAGTGTATCATTGTCACAGTTTCCCTACTAACACTACTTTTTAGCGGTCAAAAGTTTACCATTACAGACAACACAGCACCACAATTATTCTGTTGACAGCTACTCAGAAACATACAATAGGCCTGTTCTCCCTGATATTATAAAGAAAATTTGAATGGGGTCATTCAGGCAGTACTATAATAAAGACAGCGGTGGGCTGTAATTAGTTTTTCGTTGTTGCATTAAATGCTTGTCTTCAAAGTAGGACTCGGTTTTGCTACCATTTACTACAGAGCGTGACAAAGCTGTCCTTAGAAGGAATGGCCTCGGGGAGCATATGGTCACACTTGTGCTTCATTAGGAGGTTCATTCTCTCTTAATGTGCCAATTAAGGTCTGCCCACAGCTGCACAGTCGCAGCACAACACTAGTGCAGGACTACCCTGAGCTCCAGCCACGATGTTCTGTCTCGAAGGCGGTGCAAAATGAGTCAGCCATGGGTGTGAGGGCACACCTTGCAGCAGCAGCAGCAAGTCAAAGACGTAAAGGGGGAAAAAAAAAAAAAAAAAAAAGGTCAAGAGGAAGAGAGACAACCTTCTCTTTCTCACTCTGTGTCCAGAGACACCTATCCTTCCTCTACTTTCACGAGTTGTTCTTCCGCTTGCATTCTCAGCGTACTCTCCTCTTACAGTCAATCTCACT